AGACAGAGATGAACATCAAAAGAATAACCTAACAATTCACAGTTCACAATTCCCACTGTGTCGTTGTCAATATGTAGCTATAGTCACATGTCACACAGTACAAGTTACATAGTTACATAGTCTAACTATCAATAATTTCTATAATACAATATTTAATGTGACCAACTCGATAAATCAAAGACAGAGATGAACATCAAAAGAATAACCTAACAATTCACACTACACAATTCCCACTGTGCAGTTGTCAAATAACATACGTAGCTATAGTCACATGTTACATAGTACAAGTTACATACTCACACAATCTAATTGTCAATAGTTTCTATAATACTATAATACAATATTTAGTGTGACCAACTCGATAAACCAAAGGCGGAGATGAAGTCGAAAGAATGAGCACGAGGCAGAAGAGAGGGGCAAATGGTAGACCGTTATGCGGCGTGTTCGAAAGGTTTGTAAACCCGTTCGTTCTCCTCGAATCCCGATGAATCCAGCATGCTGACATTCGTGCCAATAGCAAGGTCATGATCAGTGTTACACCGTCCTTCAGCCGGTTGTTGAATCGTTACGTGGAACCACAGTTTTCCTATATGGGGAAAACGGACCGAACAACGGTCCCCATATCTCGTTGACCTCGAATCGACCTTCTCGTTTTCACGCAAGAACATCTAACGTTTTATCACCTTGCTTTATCTCGATTAACTGTACTTCTCGGTGCGTGTTTGTATAGTGAAATTAGTTGAGTTTTAGTGACTTTTTGAAATTGGTGACTTTGAGTTACTATATTGGTGATTTTGTGAACGGATTTGGACCGCAATTGAGTTTTGGACTTTGTCAACGCTTGGAGAACTGTATGTGAGTTTTGAGGAATTCTTGTTAATATTTGAATGAGTGCACGTGGTTTTGGTGAATTTTTTTAGTAGTTGAACAACTGTATGTGAAGTTTAGGGAGAGTAATATTTGGGAGGGTATTTGGATAACTGTATATATGTGTTTTGGTGAATTCTTTCAGTAGTTAGATAACTGTATGTGAGTTTTGAGGAACTTTTGTTAATATTCGGACAAGTGTATGTGAGTTTGGGAGGACTTTTGCTAATATTTGGATAAGTGTATGTGATTTGGGTTTGGTGAACCTTGTTAGCTGTTTATGATTGAGTTTTAACTCAGATTTAGCTCAAAATTCTGTTAACATTTCGATAACTGTGTTTCACTCAATTTTAGTGAATTCTGTTAGCATTTCGATAACTGTATTTGACTCAGATTTACTAAATTCTGTCAGAATTTGGATAACTGAATTTGACTCAGTTTTACTGAATTCTGTTAGAATTTGAACAACTCCTTGTGATAAACTCTGATAGAATTTGAAGAGCCACGTGTAACAACATTTTGGTGAATCCCAACACCATTCAGATAACTACATTTGAGTTTTGGTGAAAGAATCTGCTACTTTTGATCGAACTGCAAGATCCATTGATGTGCATATATCTTCTTCTCGATATTTTTTAATTTTTCAAGGAAAATACAAGTGAAATGTCTGTAGTTTTAATAAAGAAATTATGTAGTATTGTGAATAACATACAACCCCACATAATAAATAAGAATTACCTCGAAGTAATAAATCATTACCTCTGAGTAATCACTATAAAAGAGTATACATTAGTTTACCTAAAGGAGAAAATACCTGTTAAAGAAAACCAAGTGTCTTGAAACATTATACCACATTTTTTATTGTCTCAGTATTTACCCTCAGTATTTACCCAACATTTTCTTCCATCGCATTTTGCAAGAACTAGAAAGGAAAATCCATTCCGAATCCTCATAGCAATATTTCAAATTTTACTCCAACGAATAAAATGAGTCAATAGATTTCTTCGATCAAAGGAATCCCACAAAATGACTCATGCGACTAAAACAAGAAACTGAACACCAACAGGAAGTAGTAGTATTGAAACGAAAAACTTGTACCTGGAAGCAGGGGTTCAAGGAACAACGTTTAAGTACACTGATCGTTTAAAAGAAAAGAAGCTTCTAGACTGCATACTATCTCCGGAGAAGTAGGTGAGCAAGTACAGCTTTCCTTTTCAAATTAAACACCGATCGAAGCGTTTATCTTTTACAGTATACGTGACTTATTTCGAAAGTAAATGAGATTATTATAAAAGTTGCTGCACGAGAGGTTTACTATTCTTTTTGGAACAATTAGAGTCAACGTTTTGAACTTCCTAGAAAAATCATGAAATCGATCGCGGAAGTACTGAGAACAAATAAAATGCATGTGCTATTTGTGGATATTTAGAAAGTGTATAGATTATTAGAAGTTTGTGTGAAAGATTGCAAATATATCGAGTCATAAGATAAATATATCTGTTCATGATTTATAGAGTAATTTGTGTGAGTTTGCTTTTCTGTGGTTTTTAGAATGATAGATTTTAGGAGAAGGATTGGTGAAAAGGAAGGTTTTCCAAATGCCATATTTCCAAATTCTCAAATTTCCAAAATTTCCAAATTCCCAAATTTCCAAATTCTCAAATTTCAAAATTCCCAAATTTCCAAATTTCTAAATTCTCAAATTCCCAAAATTTCAAATTTGGAAATTTCTAAATTTCTAAATTTCCAAATTTCCAAATTCCCAAATTCCCAAATTTCCAAATTCCCAAATTCCCAAATT